TATGGACCCTAAGTTTCTTCACGTTTTGACCTCTGTCTTTTTATGTAGTCTTTGTTTCCTACCACTCTTTCATACATAATCTTCACTCTAGTTATGCTGAATAACTTGCTTTCTCTGTAATGAGCCAAGCAGATAGAGTGTCTGTGTATGGTTGTATAGACTGCACTTTGAACATCTCCTCGAGGTCAATTTGTATAGTTATTAGAACTATTTTCTAGAATATGGCAGTAAAGTGTCTTATTCTAATGAAATCAATATAATATGATAATTTTGTGGCATATGGAAGTAAATTACTTTGAAGGAAGGGCCAATTTTATAAAAACTTGAACAAAGGTGCACCCCTGATCCTTGGTATAATTACTTATGTTTGGAATGTGTTCCAGCTGTCTTGTCCACCAGCAAATTACTTCTCATTCCACACAAGGAAACTCAAACATGATATCTCTTTAAATATTACCAGGTATTTTTTATAACTATCTCATGGTCTGGAAATATTTATGTTATCACACTTTTCAGTTGCCTAGTGTTGTGTTTTCAATCTTCATCTTTATTCATTTTATCCATGAGGTGTTCTGGTTCAGAAGAAGATTTCTTACTTATTACCTCACAGTACTAGTAAATAAGAACTGTGTGCTTGCCCTCTTCCTCTCTTTCCCAGAGTGATTCTCTCCACCAGAGCTATTAATCCCCATCACTATATCTCCCCCAGGCCTCACCTCTGAGGCAAAGTGAAATTTATTACATGAGTGGCTAGATAACTCGATAGACAAGGGACAAGGAAGAATGATTTTTCTATGCTTATAAAGGTGAAGGAGACAGCTGTATATGGCTTGAGCGTCCCAAGAAAAGTGGATGTGAGGATGATCCAGGAAGGCCTCATTCACGCAAGAAGTGCCCAGGGCTGGGAAAATATCATACTGTGTCCTTTTCCCTACCCACATAAATACATGGAGGTTTGTTAGAATAAGCACTCACTTTAATCTTGAACAGGAAGAGAGCCTGCGGTGAGGTTTCTATAAGGCAGAGGTCTAGCTCCATACTTTTAGTGATGAGAGGATCTATATAAGAGTGTCAGGTTATATTTGGTAACAATTGAAAAGTTGGAAAGGGGTATGGACAAAGTCCTAAGAACTTTACAAAATTTTATAATTATGATTGAATAAACTATAAAAGATGGAAAGTTCAAACATTTTCTCCACTCTACCTATTTGAAAATGTGGTCTACCAAGGGCCCTGAGTATTTGTACACATTTCTCTGGGTATGCTAAGAATGCAAGGTGTTAAATACTCATTACTCATGTTCTTTCTGACGGTTGCATTTGCAATGAGCAACCTTGAGCAACCAAGTAGTATCTTCTCCCAAACAAAGAGTAGGCTTGGTTAACAAACACTATAAAAGCAGTACGTTCCCGAAATTTAGTATTTCTTGTCTATGACAGAAATGCACTGTATATGCAGCACCCACCTGGACTTCTTTTCTTAGAATCAATGGGATTTGGGGGATATGGGAAACTAGTATCAACATCATGCTTATGCTGCTTTTACATGCTTCATTGTCTCTAATCTAGGCATGTTATGTCTTCTGCTTGCATCCATGAAACAGTAATAAGCCCCAGACTATTCACAAATCCTGAAACTACTCACCTACATAAGAGAATCTTGACATTGCCATGCATAGGATGAGTCAAGTAACATAAGAAACTGCTGAGAAGGTAAGAGAAAGAGAGCTGAAGAAGGAAGTATGCCTTTTCTTTATGGTTCTCATTATTTGAAATTATTGATTTACTAGAGGCCTGGTACATGAAATTCGTGCACTGGCTGTGGAGGAGGGGTGTCCCTCAGCCCAGCCTTCACTCTCTCCAATCTGGAACCCCTCAGGAGATGTCTGACTGCCGGTTCACCACCTTAAGTCAGACATCCCTCTCACAATCCGGGACTGCTGGCTCCCAACTGCTCACCTGCCTGCCTGCCTGCCTGATTGCCCCTAACCACTTCCCTGCCAGCCTGATCGAAGCCTAACTACTCCTCTGCCAGCCCAATTGCCCCCAACAGCCCTCCCCTGCCAGCCTGGTTGCCTCTAACTGCCCTCCCCAGCAGGCCTGGTCCCCCGCAACTGCCCTCCCTCCCCTGCAGGCCCGGTCACCCCCAACTGCCCTCCCCTGCTGGCCATCTTGTAGCGGCCATCTTGTGACAACATGGGCATGGCCATCTTGTGTGAGGGCGTGATGGTCAATTTGATTATTACCTCTTTATTATATAGGATTATGTCTGTTTCTCCCAATATAATTCAAGCTCCTGGAAGTCAGGGACTTTTTAATTCACTGCTGTATCTTAATGAGTAAAGTAGTGTCTAGCAATGCGGAGGCTTAATAAATATTTGTTGAATGAATTAATGACTATCTGGATCTTGAACCACCAGGTGTGGTGAATTGGTAGTACTCAGAACGGGTTACACTGGCTCATAACAGAAGTCTGCTCTCAAGCTGCATTTTAAGTTACTCCTCTTATCTTTGTGAATCAGCATTAAATATTTTATTCCTATAAGGTTGTTGTTTTCTTATATAAGTCCTTGAAAGAGAATTTTCCCCAAAATTATTTTATTAATCATTTCAGTCACTAAAGGAAGTACAATATGGGTATAGAAAGAAATGAACGCTATTGACTGACCAGTCTAATCTAGATAATTTACTTGTGTTGCCTCATTTAATTCTCACAACTCTACAAGATCAATATATTAATATTTACTTTGCATGTAAGGAAATTTAGGTACATAGAGGTTAAATAACTTGCTTTAGGATACATAGCTATTAAATGGTATAGCTTTCTTTTTCTGGCTTCAAAACTCCTTCTCTCCCTGCTACAACATTCTAAAGTTATGGTATTTTATTCCTGTGTTACAGTGAATGGGTTTTTCAAAATAACATTTAGGATGTGTAAGAGTCATGGTTCAGAATAAACAAACAGAAACAATTTTAGGTATTTTAAGTATGAAAGTATTAAATAGAGGGTACTTATAAAAATCCATGTCAGGATTGAAGAAGTGAGTTACAATCTGACCCTCCAAGAATCAATGATACCAGTTCAGTACAGAGTTGGTGTATCAATAGAGCTGAGGACTACTGGAACATGGGATTCAATAATTTAACCTCATGATAGAAGGTGGAATCAAAAAGCTACTGCTGTCGCAACTGCTACAACTGCTTACTGTTTTCCAGGGGTTAAATAATGAACCATGGAATACCATGCAGAAAAATATTCAGATGAACTTTATTATAAAAGAAATACATTGGGGCCTTGATTTACGAGTGTCCCGACTAACGAGTTTTTCGAGATACAAGCCGTCTCTCGGACGATTTTTTGAGTTGAGAGCTAAAATTTGGGTTACGAGCCAGCTTCAGATACCCCACCACTAGTTGGCGCAACGAACGTCACAGTGAATGCCACAACATCACATGTTTCATTCGTTCACTGTTGATTTGACATATGAGTAATTTGAGTTACGAGCTCCGTCATGGAACGAATTAAACTCGTAAGTCAAGGCCCCACTGTACAGCCAAAAGTGGTCAGGAGGAAAACTTCTTTTATGTTTTCTAAATCTTACATGAGTATATCTAATTGATAAAGCTAATTCAAATCCATAGCTCTAGGTGCAAAGGTGTCCAGGGAATGTTTTAAGCCTCTAGTGACTAGAAGTGGTTCTCAACCTTCCTAATGCCACGACCCTTTAATACAGTTCCTCATGTTGTGGTGACCCCCAACCATAAAATTATTTTCATTGCTACTTTATAACTGTAATTTTGCTACTTTTATGAATTATAATGTAAATATCTGATATACAGGATGTATTTTCATTGTTCACAACCTACAGGTTGAGAACCACTGTAAGGTCTGCATTATGAAGTCACCATAAGAAGAGGGTAGAATGGACATTGAGTAAGACAACCTGCAATACTTACCAGGAACAGTATGGGATAAATACCAATACTTATACAGAATATTGTAAATATAATACAGAAGGTTATAAAATGTTCAAAACTGACATTAAAATCTTTGTGGCTATGATTTATCCGAGGAAAAATATGCTCTACATACATAATAAAGCCAATAATATATCTAAATGTGTATGTATCAGAAACAGGAAAATCGGTTGTAATGTAGTATCATTACTTTCATTTTTCTATAGCCCTTTGTTTGCTGACATGATTATTGACATGATTTTTTGGGAAAGGGAGGCATATTCCAGCAGGCCCCAGAACTTTCTCTGGATTCTCTTTTTCTCTGATTTTTCATGTTAATCAAAAAGAAGGACTTAACAATTTAGTAATCTAAAGCTTCAAAGACACTTAACACACCCAGACATTTTACATGGAGGCCCCAAAGAGGCAAAAAGATTTACCCAAGGTCTCATGGAAACTGGACTAAAACCCAGGTTTTCTGACTTCCTGTCCAAAGCCTTTTCTTTTAATTTTTTTAACTTTTATAATAATTTATTTGAGTCATATTGACAACATGCTGGGAAGCAAGATCTCAAATGCTTGCCCCCCAAAGCTTTTTCATCACAACAAAACCAAGCCTTAGATTGCATGCCTCTTAATACAGAGTGATACCATGTGCACATGTGCATGCATGTGTGCATGTGATTCCACTTATATCAAATTCAATAACAGACAAAACTAAGATATATTTTTAGGGAAGCATATTTACATTTGAACTAATGTTTGGTTAGTGGTGGATGCCAAGAGTTGTTACCGGGAAAAACCAAGTGGGAACTTCTTAAGTGATGGGAACTCCTTAAGAAACTCACATTTTTGAAGGACTTAAGCTTTCTTTTATAAAGAAATGTTAAAAACCCAATCTAATGTATATGACTTTTTTCAATAGCACTTAGTTTTAGTACTTACTATGTGACAGAGCCAGGCTAAATGTTTTCCATGGATAATTTCCTTTAACTCCCACAAGAGCACTCTAATAGAGACACTTTTGTTATTGTTACTTTATAGGTGAGGAAACTGCGGCCCAACCTTTCCCAAGTTGCCCAAATCTACAGTTGGGTAGCAGAGCTTGTATTTGATCCATCTGGCTCCAATTTCAGGAGCGTAACCACTCTGCTCTGCTAGTCACCAGAAACTTAGTAAGTAAATTGTGCTCCCTTCTTTTTATTATTATTTTACAGTCATAAAGGTTATGTTATATATCTATATTAATAAGTCATTAATATAGTTATATTAATAAGAGAACAAACAGGATGCAAAATGATACACACATATAATTGTGATTACAGCTATGTTAAAAATACATATGCATAGGTATAAAAGACTAGAATATAAAACACAGTAAGTTAGGATGATGAAAATATGGGTACTTATTTTCCCACTTCTGCTTTTCAAATTTATTTTAAAGTGGCCGTATTAAATTTACAATGAGAAAATGTGCTCTAAAATAAACTTCCCATTTCCCTAAAACATAAAATTTCATTTCCACACTCTTCTCTCCTACAGCTTTGTATAATCTTTAGAAATCTATCCTGCTCAATGAGTGACTTCATTACTAAATTGATGGCACTGGATCATTCTAGCTATGCAAATCACAAACGCACAGCCAGCTGAGGGAAAGGCGGATAAAAGATTACATTAAAAATTAAAGCAACATGTGGAGATGTGGAGATAATGTGCTTACAATTATTTCTACATATTTAATATTTATGCAATTACAGAGCCAGTCATGACTAATCTTAAATCTTGAATCATATTCTTTTTGCCCTCTGATATTTTTGACCTTGAACTGAGACTGCCAAATAACACGTAAATAATGGCTTTGTGAGAAACATTTTCTTGGCCTATAATGATAAATGCTTTTTTTTCTTAGAAAGTGATCTCATTTCTTCCCAGCCTTTGTTTATTTTCAAAGCCTTGTATTTTTTTTTTTACTCTGTTTTATTTTAATAACCCTTGCAAGCACTGAGCCTTTAGTCTTCTACAGTTTGGTTGTGTTGTTTTCTGGTGCTGCTGCTGTCAGAGGAAATTTACAGGGACATTAGCCTACTTGACAGGCACAATGAGCCACTAGGCTCTCCTAAGGAGAAACTTCCATGTGCTGTGGTGAGGGTTTCTCTGTCTCTCAGTCCCACCGTCCCTCACACACCTTCATATACCACCATCATTCAGATACAAATCCCAAGCACTTTCTCTTAAAGGCAGTGCGCTGCATCCTGGATTTAATTCTCTGGTTTCTGGTAACAACATTACATTAGTTCTGCAGTAATGAATTCATATTTCTGGAACAATCTGACTACAGCAGTTTGTGGATAAAACCAATATCTTCACTTACAGGGATATAGATACCAAATAAGGAATGGGTGGGAACCCTTTTTCCCCTCTAATGGTCACTGAAACAAAGAAGGTAAAATGGCAACCAAGAACTGTACAAATGAAATATACAATATAGCTAAATTTTATGGAAGGTGTTTAGAGAAAAAATTCAGAAACAGTTAATTTACTTTTCTCAGTGTGTCATAGAAAAATGATCAACAAGAATCAATAAAATGTATTCAAAATTAAAAAACATAAAATGAGACATAACTGAAAGGGTAAGCTATTTTTTGGCAAATCCCAAATAAATTAGAGTATTTCCCTAAAGCCATTGCAGAACCAAAGGCCTGTGCATTTTCTGTTTCATCTATACTGTGCAGACCCTCAGGAAGTCAATTTACTAAGACATAGCAGTTCTGGTATATTCAGACCCTGATGCTAAGTTATCTCTTCAATTTAAACATAGCTGAGCCTTTTAAATAATATAAGGTTTTTAAAAGAATATTCCATTTGCTTTGGTATGTTTAAATTATAAGCTTGCCACTGTGTAACCTACAGAAATTATTTAGAACAGTCCAAATTCACATTCAGTTTCTTGCTAATTCTCTGTAAGAAGCAGATATATTTACGAAGCCAATCCATAATATAGGTCTGAGCTGCCCTGTTTGTTGAATGAATAAATAAGTGAATGAATCTTGCAATATCTGGAAACTAGGAATAGGTGGCTTTCAGGTAGACTTATTATTCAGAGAAATAACTGGGAATATTATTTGTTTGGCCCTGTCTTAGTACAGGCTATTATAACAATACTAGAGGCCCGGTGCACAAAATTCATGCATTGGTAGGGTCCCTAAGCCTGGCCGGTGACCAGGGCTGATCTGTGGGGTGATGGGGGAGCACGGGGGCCCTGCTGACACCCTCCTTGGCTGGCCTGGCACTGCCCACTCACTAGCCCTGCCCCCCCCCCCACGCCTCCAGAGGCGACTGGCAGGGCAATCAGGGAGGAGTGCGGGGGGTGCTGGCCAGCCCCGTCCCCCACCACCGCTGCTGGTCGCCTCCCTCTGTGGGGCGACCGACGGGGCAATCGAGGGGGCCCCTGATGGCACCCTCCTTGGCTGGCCTGGGGCCTGAAGGCTGGGGGTAGCTCCTGCATTGAGCGTATGCCCCCTGGTGGTCAGTGCACGTCATAGCAACTGGTCGTTCCACCATTCAGTTGATTTGTATATTAGGCTTTTATTATATAGGGTACTATAGATTGGGCAGTTTATAAACAGAAACTACTGCTCACAGATCTGGAAATTAGAGATCAAGGTGCCACCATGGTCAGGTGAGAGCCCTCTTTCAGTTTGCAGACTTCCTCCTCTTCACATGGTGGAAGGGACTAGGGAGCTCTCTGGGGTCTCTCTTTCTGAGCACTAATCCATTCACAAAGACACCACCCTTATGACCTTCCAGAGGTCCTAGGTCCTAATACCAGTGGGATTTCAACATATGGATTTGTTGAAAATGAAACATTTCAGCCAAAATAGGGTCCCTTCCCTTTTTCACTTTCTTGGGGTCATGCTCTCCAAATGTTTTGGAATGGCCAACTGCAGCTGTCTTCTCACCTCTGCCCTCAGTCCCTCCCTACCTTTATGAAGGAAAATAAAAGTTTTTCAGTCCTGGCAGCCTGGTAGTCCTTGGAGAGACTGACTCATTGCTCAGGCTCCCTAAAAGGGAGAGCAGACCACAAATTCCTGTCTTTGGAGTGGTTCTTCCTTAGTTTGGTTTTCTGCAATGACAGGACACTCCTCTCTGCCTTCTGCTCCTCTGTAGTGACTTGAAGGATGAGGAGGGGGACCAAGTTTTTTAGGCTGTTAGGATGACTAGAGGTTGTTATAGCTAGTCCGGTGCAATGGCAACATGTGCCATTACCAGTAATCTTGCCCATTATCTGGAAAATACAGAAAACTTGAAGAACAGGAATTATTTACTCTCACACAAAGAAAGCTAAGGCACCAAACACTGGATTTTATATACAACCATTTTCCATCTTAAGGTCTTTAGAAATAGAATTTATTAATTTATTAATTATCTAGGGTGACTTGAGTAAGATTCTTTTTGAAACAGGAGATAATTTAGATATCTCCGTTTCCTGTTTCCATTTTCTTAAAAAAGACCCCACATATACCTCATACAAAGTGTATTTAAACTCATTTTGTGTTTGTTTATTTTTAGTTAAAGGGTCATAAAATAGATTAAATTTCATAAACAATAAAAGTTTCTCTTCACCTCTAAATCAGTGGGAGATTTTCTCTAATTTTAACACTAGATTATTTTAACATATAATTATCAAATGCCCACTATATGCCATGCAGGTAGACATACAGCATAATGTATACGTTAAACCTTTAATGTGCAGAATGCATATAGGTACTGAGAACTCTTTGGACTCTCTGATGAATCCATTCATGTTTTCTGTACACACTCATAGTTTAAACTCTACTTAGGTGACTGCTACAAATCCTGCATTTCATTTGCTTCTTTGATCCCCTAGGACTAAACCAAAGACATTGAATTTCAGCTCCAGCACCCCCAACCCCAGCCTAGTGGATGCATTTTCATTGGCATGGGTGTATCCAGGAGTAGAATTATATCACCTCCCCTAAGTCCTGAGGAGTACTAAGGGGAGGAGTACTAAGAACTCTTTACTGAAAGTCAGTGCCCAGGAAAATGAACTGCCAGAAAGGAGTGTAAAACATTGAAGCATTTGCCAGTCTACATGCCTGCACTCACAGCTAAGAAGCAGCTACAAGATGGATGGACAGGGAAAAATGACTCATTTGGAAGCGTGGCAGTCAAAGAAAATCCAAACCCAGGAGCTTTTCTCCTAAGAACCCCTATGACATTTTATTCTTTAAATAAATCTTTTCTTCCTCTCCTTAGGTGAGAGATTGACATTTTAAGATCAATCATGCCTCTGCTTTGCAGGGTTGGTAGACTTAGAATAGGATAAATGGAAATTAAGCAAAATTTCCATTTTTTAAAAAATAAAAATGTCCAAAATAGCAATTTTATAACTCAGTATAAAAGAAGGATACTCTTACCCCAGTGGTCATTCCCATTATTATGGTTATCTCAAGACCTTTTGATGTCAAAATTTCACCCTGTTTTATCTAAAAGCCCCACTTTGAACATACACAAATGTATTACATATAATGTTTTATATAATGCATCTCAGTTTGCAAAATGTGCAACAGTTGGTTATTAGGACCTAGTAGATTATTTGAAATTTAGCATGAGTCCCCAATTTCTGACATAAAGAAGCAAGGGGAGAAAAAAGGAAACATCTTGATTTTTAGATCTCATCTTCCTGCATTTGTGGTTAGTTCATTTTAATTTATTTTATCAAAAGGATATAGTATCTTGCCATACACCATTGATCAGAAGGAGCACCGTTTCCTGTTTCCATTTCCTTAAAAAAGACCCCACATATACTTCATACAAAAACAAACAAACACCAAAACTTTGTTTTAAATGAAAGACAGGTAGTAAGGTAGGAGTTATATTGAGTAGCTCTCTCTATTTCCCTGACTTCCTAATAGCATTTCATGGCTTTCTTTTCTTTCTTTCCTCACTCTCACTATAAATATCAGAGCTGGTGATTGACTTTTACTGCTGCCTTTCATGCAAACTTCTCAGTAAAGCAGTTACTGATTCTAGGAGCCATCTCCCTGTCTCCCACCCTCACTCATACAGTTTTCTAATGGGGCTAAGGGGCCACAAAGAATATAAAAAACATTGTAGAGCACATTGACTTAAACAGTGAAACTCAAAGGTTTGATTTTGGACTCACTGCATCAGCTCATACAGTCCCCTTGGCGCATGGTACAAGGCAGCCACCCACTGAACATTTTACTGATTGAGAAGATGGCAAAGGGCAGCCTAAGAGGGACACAAAGGAGAATGGAAATGTTTGCAGCAAAGCCTTCCCACAAACAGGAATTCTACTCCCTACTTCAAACACTGTTTCTCTTTGAATATAACATTTCAAGATACTTTATCTTTCTAAAATGAGCAACCTTCCCTAATAAAGTGACGTTTATCGTTCTATTATACCTATCCGTTAACCTTCTTATATCATTTTACACTCACATCATTATTCTCCTGATTAAAGGTTATAAACAAATTTAGAAGATATGTATGTAAGATATGTGTGTATGTATGTATATGTATACATACTAGAGGCCCAGTGCATGACATTCATGCATGGCGTGGGGTCCCTAAGCCTGGCTGGCGATCAGGACCAATTGGGGCCAGGCCAATCAGAGCCAGGCCGGAGAGGAGGCGACAGTCGCTGGGTCGAAGGGAAGGACCCAGATGCCGAGGCCGCCATCGTCAGCACTGCGCC